TGTATGTGTTTGTGTGTGTATGTGTGTGTGTGTGCACGCGCACGAGAGGCGACCTCCCCGAAAACCAATCAATCAACCAACCAATCAAGTCAGGAATTAATCCAAGGTGATTGGTCGATTGATTGATTGAGTGAGTGATCAACCCTCCGAATCAGGGTTGGGTTTGGAAAGCATACGAACCGTGGTGGGGGCACGACCTTTTGATTACAAAAGGTCGCGGAGGATCGTGATCGAGGGTGGGGAAAAATCGGAATCAGGGTAGGCCGACCTCTGAATTGGTTGAGGCGTCGGAATCAATCAATCAAGTTGGGGGCGGTGGGTTGAGACATCGGAATCAATCAAGTTGATTAATTGATTAATTGATTGATTGATTGAGTGATTCCAATCGAGGTCGGCAACATGTGTGTGTGTGTGTGTGTGTGCGCGCCCAAGGAAAATTAGTGGTAGTGAATTCCAGAAACCAAGTCACATTATAAACACGAGAACAGATAGTCGTGACCTCTAACCAAGAGCAGAATCCCAAACTGATACACGCCAAATAAGAGTAACACCAGAGCTCAGAAATGACAACGCTGAAATAATATCTTCATCATCATCAATGAACCAAGTCGTTTTCCCCCACCTAGCGCTCAGCGCTCGGACTACAAATGTCAGATCCTATCTATCCTACTAAGGGTATGCACATACGTGGCACCACGACGTCTGTGCACGCAGAGGATTGGGATCAAGCTCGGGGAGGTTGGGGATCGGGGTCCGACAAGGTTTTTCAATTACGAAAAAAAAACCGTAAAAAAAAAAAAATCTGCGAAGGAAAGAAAAATCACGTAGCAGTTTTTCACCTTACCAATCAATCAATCAATCCTTAATTGATTGATTCCAATGATTCGTTGATTGATCGCTTGAAAGAAACAGGCACGAAAAAGCGGACGTGACGAAAAGGCGAAAAAAAAACGAGGTGGGGGAAGGGAGGACCCGTCCCCCACCAATCAATCAATAAATCAAGCAATCAGTCAAGCAATCAGTCAATCAATCAATCAATCAATCAAATGCGTTTTCAAGTCGGATCGGGGCGGGATCGCTCTCTCCCTCTCTTTCTCTCTCTTT